AGGTATTTTTTCCAAACTGCTAAATAGTTTGATCATTTTCTATGCCAGTGCCTCCTTTTCCCTTTGCAGTCAGGCTCTTTCAGAGGAGGTATTGCTTATTCCTTTGTGAATGGATTTATAATGGATTATCTCAGCATAATACTCCAAGTTACGACACTTCCCGGTCCAATGCTTATCTGGACTTTGCGGCTCCCACTGCCTAACACTTCACACAGTCAAGACTACATTCTGTTTTGTTGAACACGTTTGGTTGTTTGGGGTTTTTTTTTGTTTGCTTGTTTGTTTTATTGATACTGTTTGGTTGTGGATTTTTTGTTTGTTGGGGTTTTTTTTGTTTGGTAGTTTTGTTGGTTGGTTGTTTTTTTTAATATCTTTGATAGCCAGGTACTTCCTCAATGATTCTGCTTTTCCTCAAGAAACTGTCCTACTTCATCTTTCTGTTACTAACGTTACCTATAGAAGTTCACAGAATCATGGAAGGGACCTTCAAGATCATGTAGTTCCAACCTCAGTGCCATGGGCCGGGGAACCTTCTGCTAGACCTGGTTATATATGCCTTTCACTAAAAAGGGAAAAATCCATTAATATTAACATGCCAAACCAGCAACAAAACTCTGGAAGGCACTGGAAGGCTGCTCTAAGGTCTCCCCAGAACTTTCTCTTCTCCAAGGTGAACAAGCCCAACTCTCTCAGCCTGTCACTTTTGCTGATAAAAGTTTCAGAAGGCATCTGGTAGCTCTTGTGATATCCTGACTAGAAACAGTAGTTAGAGTTGTTTGAAAAGGAGCTACTAATATCATCATTATTAGGTCTTTTCTCATCCATACAGTTCAGAGGAAATTTTTCATCTGCTTTTACAGCTGTAAGGCTGCAAAGGCTGTGTATTCCTTTATTAACACTATCATCAAGTTATGGGCATCTGCCCACAAGCAGATCTACTCCTTAGGGGAACATGAACTACTCAAGTTTATTTGCCCAGGCAGCTGCAATGACCACTCTCAAAATCTGACTAGCTACATCCCCAAAATAATATAAAGAATTTAAAAAAGTACATAGAAGTGTGTTTTTTTTCTTTTGAAAGATGGCTGATAGATTCCATGTTGCAATACCAAGAGACTGGAAACTAAAGGTGGGTTTAGCTCAAGTGTAGTGCATTAGAAGTAACTCTGCAAGTTTATTAACTGTAAGAAGGAACTTCCCTGGACCAACAGACATTTTGCCATCAAAATGGCAAAGAGTGGGCAAAAAATTAAATACTAAGAAGTGTCAGCATTTTAAACAAATTGATTTTTCGACCACTGCAATCAACAAATGCATCAACAGTCTTTCATTGTTACCTGGATTACTTCCACAGTCACATTCAAACTGGTATCTGAGCTAAGCTAAAATCAATGCATATCTGAAGAAAATATCCACACATTCAAATACTAAAAATACTCCTTTTTATACTATTTATTCTAGTTTTCTATACAGAAAAGGTGGACATGAAATGGATTTTTTTCTGAAATTCTTTATCTGCTCCAATTGCCAGTATCCTTAATGTCACAGAAGAGAATTTTGCAATCCATAAATCTGACTCATGGTCACATACCAGTTTTGTTTATTAAAGTCAGATAAAACCAGAACCTGGACTGATTTCAGTAACTTTACCCTGAACTAAATCAGGATTCTATGATTATCACTATCCTCTACATGTAGCGTATGAATACTGTTCTTAGGACTACTTTCGAATACAGAAAGGTACTTACTAAAAGAAAATTCAAATTGCAGAGAGGCTTTGCGGGGAGCACTGTTGAATAATCATTATCATCCTGTTCTTCCTAGTTTGCAGATAAAAGAGTACTATTTTTTTTCCCCATGAAAGCATTACTAATACTTAAAATACACAATAAGGAGAAGGTAGTAGCACATTTGGATTGACAAGTCTAGCCTGCCATGGTAGTCGTTTTAAAATACGGAAAAATATAATGCTTTGCTCTTGAGTTTGTCCAGTCATAAACAGCAGTGAGGACAAATATTTACAGTATAATCACCTTCCTGTCACTCTAATATGTCTTATTTTATGACTTGTATCTAGTCAGGTAGTAAATAACACACAGTAAACTACACAAGGTCAGTGAGGACAAAATGCAGACTTCAGGATGAGTAGTGGCTCCACTATTTACTACCATGGTTTATGAGCAGTTTCAATAGATGCTAAAGTGCAGCTTAAGCCTGCATGAAGCTTCATTTATTTCAGAAAGGCTTTCCCCAGATAAAGGGACATGGTTATAGAGACCATAGAATCAGGTTTTTGTTTACTGTGACTGCTCAAAAAATAATAAATGCATGAAACAGCTCCACTGGAAGGAGGTCTCTTCTAAGAATGTGTGCTAATGACACCACTCTGTTGCACTGATAATAAGGCTATAAAATGCTTAATTTAATTCAGAGTTTTAAGCAGCAATTCCAAGTTAAAAAAGATTTGAGAAAAAAGAAACAAGAAGTTTAAAAAAAAATACTAAAAATATTAAACTTACTGTTGTTAGGATGCTCCATAAATACTAGAGTTGTCCAGACAGAAAAACTGAAATTACTAACACCACCTAACATGAATCTGTCTAAAGTAAGCATTAAAACTTTACAGATGATGGAGAGGAACAATAATCTTAACATGTTTGCTCTCTGGGATCATTTCAAAGTGTAATGGCTGAATATAAAGAAAACCATGAAAACAACATGTGTATTTGTACACATACATGTTCCAGCTCCGGTAAAATGACAAACTGTTGTGTAACAAAATGCCTTCTTCTACAGCAATTTTCAGATTATCTGAATTGCTCTAGCACAACAAAAATATGCTGTTGAAGTATTACAGGCAAAACCAACACTGCAGCTGGTACTGTAATCACAATGTTTACTCACCTAGCTTATTTTCTGAACAATTCCTTCCTAACAGAGGAGATATCCATATTATGATATTATTGGAATCATATGGCTTAAAGAGTTTACTGTCAGGAAACTGCTATGAAGACAGAAATAAGCTTTTCTTTTCCATCATGCCTCTGATCAGATGAATTTCCACCAAATCATAGAATCATAGAATAGTTAGGGTTGGAAAGGACCTTAAGAACATCAAGTTCCAACCCCCCCGCCATGGGCAGGGACACCTCGCTCTAAACCGTATCACCCAAGGCCTCGTCCAACCTGGCCTTGAACACTGCCACGGATGGAGCATTCACAACCTCCTTGGGCAACCTATTCCAGTGCCTCACCACCTAACAGGAAAGAATTTCCTCCTTATATCCAATCTAAACTTCCCCTGTTTAAGTTTTAACCCATTACCCCTTGTCCTATCACTACAGTCCCTAATGAAGAGTCCCTTCCCAGCATTCCTATAGGCCCCAAAATGCCTCAAATAGATGAATAGTTGGCACTTTAATACAAGGACTATCTTCAAACTCCATTTTACTATCCAGCCTGGAGATATCCAAAAAGGTAACACTGTCCAGCCTACAGAATAACAGAAAAAAAACCTTAAGAAATTGTTTCCTAAAGTTTTCTGTTGTTGCTGCTTAATACAGTTACTTCAGATATTTTATATTTGTGTACCAACAGTGTTCTTTGCCACTATGCAAGCCCCAGGCAGCAAAAAGCTATGTAAATACTGCAAACTGGAAACTCCTACCAAGCTCCTTAAACGTTGCTCATGAGTACTAAAATTGTGAGTCTAGAAAACTCCAAGAATAACAAAATTCAATTCACCTTAAGAATTGATGAGAAAAGCTTCCAAATCAGATAAGAACAATGACCTTTTGCCTATAAATGTATAAGCAACAGCACGCGTTTCCTTCTTCCAATTATCTTCAAATCTATTGAAATCACAGCATCAAGTCTCTCTTTTGTCCAGCTACAGAAAGAAAATATACGGGGATGTTTTTTCATTTTATACGAAAAAAACCCCAAAGCCCAGACTGGGCAGAGACAGGATTGAGAGGAGCCCTGAGGAGAAGGACTTGGCGGTGCTGACTCAATGTGACCCAGCAATCTGCACTTGCAGCCCAGAAAGCTAACCATATGCTGGGTTGCATCCAAAGGAGCATGACCAGAAGTAAAAGGGGGTGTTTCTCCCCCTCTACTCCACTCTCATGAGACCCTGACTGCAGTACCGCATTCAGCTCTGGGACCCCCTGAGAGACATGGACCTGCACAAGTGAGTCCAGAGGACTTCCTATGTGTCAGGACAGCCTGTATCTATCTAGACATGGCAGGGCAAAATGCAGGGCAATAGACCAGGCAGCATAAACAAGATTCATCCAGTGTACCAACCACATTCACAGCTGGGAACACTAAAGGGACTGAGATACGCAGGTGATGAGGCAAGCAAATGCATTCGACCACTACAGGATGACACAAATGTTTTGAGAAGTTGTACGGGTAGCAAACAGTCCATTCACTGAAGAAAAAAATTAATGACTTCAAATGATGTTTTAAAACATATATTTACTTAAGCTGAAGGTACCAGGTAGGTCATTCTCTCTGTACCAAATTGGAAGAGCTGTTAAGCAGAGTAGGGAAAGACATTTAAAATCATCATCATTAACAAACATACTAAATGTTTTCTTTCAGCGAATAACCAATAAATTGTATACAGTGGAAATGCAGTTCATACCAACCTGAGCAATCAGGCTTAAGAGAGAAAATGCTTGCCCAGTTTCTTCATTCTAAAGTGCAACCTTTTAAAGTATGAAAGTGACTATGAACAAGGTAGACTATACCCCTTTGGCAGAGAATTTTATTTTCTTCAATGTGCTCAAGTTAACATAGAACAAAGTCTTCCTCTGTGCTTGTAAACAACCACTGGGCTTTAGATTGCCATTGACATAGGCTAGATTTTTACTTTGAATTTTGTTTACTAAGGCATTCCAAATATGTAACACTGAAAAATCATGCTATGGTGAAGAGAGAAATATATACAGATTAAAAAGCCCATAAATATTTTAAACAATTGCCGTACCCACCTGCTACATTAAGCTTTTCAGCTGCTCCCAAGCTAGGAGCAGGAGTGTTAGTATTGTTGGTAGAATTTGCTCCTGTTCCATTAAGCACAAGGTTTTCCACCTTGGACTCTAGCTTCCCAATGCGCTGCAAGATATTATCCAACAAGACAGCAAGTGTCTTCTTCAAATCTACAAATGAAAATGAAAAGTTAACTTGCTTAATAATGCGATGCACACTGTCAGACAGAATCAAAATTAGGTACAAGAATGAGACTGGAATATATAGACACTTCATCAGTGCAAACCTTTGTCATTAGCAGTTCTATGCACTAACACTCCCTACTTTGTTCAGTCTCGGGTACAAGTTTCCCTAGACTTATTTTATAAAGCACACTGCAACTCATATATATATCCTATATTCAAGGTGACGTGTGAGCTTTCATGGATACACACATGGGAACAGAAAAAGTGCATGCTTTGTAATAGCTTAAGTACTAAGAAGCTGCTTAAATAATAGTGAGTCTGAGTGCTTAAATAATAATAATGCTGCTTAAATAATAATGAGTGCATGAATCCAAGTTCAAGCACTATTCGAGGAAGAGTCTGTGCTCAATCACTTGGAAACAAAAATCCCCTTCCCAAGGACAGCTTTGCGTCAGTACAAAAGCCTTCACCTGCATCTCCTTCACCACAGCCAGGCTCTGCACTGACCAAAAAAAAAAAAAAAAAAACCACACCAAAAAAAACCCCCAAAACCAGAAGAAAGAAAGATAAGAAAAAAATGTGAAGCTCAACCTTTCTGATAGATACACAAAATACCACAAATCACGTGTTTCTTTTCTTCAGTCTGTTGGCAATTGCCTTTACCTATGTGGTCTGACACAGCCTTTCCTTCGCATGGAAAGCAACAAACAATAATAGAAGTTTGCCTATTAAATGGCATCCCAGAAAAAAATCTCTAATAATTTTTCTTTCCCTTTTCTTTTGTTTGGATTTCCTGAAGTGACTCAGACAGTTGGGCAAACTTACAGAACTGTGGGCAACAGGGGAAAAATGGACCACTATCAGACTAAACTGTGGCAACAAGCCAAAGAAGATGAAATACAATATTTTTCTTTGCTTATTTACCCTTGTCTCAAGATTAAAGAATTCAGTGTGATTAATTTATTTTCCCATTTAATTACATATAATAATTACATGTGCATATGCTTAATATATTTTCTGCTTTCCACAACTTCAGAATCAAGTAACTTTCTGATCTGTAATAGAAAATCTCTCCATACATCTGAAGATTCCTCTGCCCCTAACACCAGCTGCATTTCTGCCACACCCACTTTGTACTATCTCTTTTTATTCTTTATGACTAATCCAATTCTTGTGCAAATGAGACAGTAAATAAGAAAATGTTATTACTTTTTGAAAGCTTATGTTTCTTTTTTCCAGATAAAAGGAGAGCTATGTTTACTCCATGGAGCTATAAACTGGATATTTTTTCTTTATAGCTGTGTGTTTTTCTCTTTAAAGATCAGAAGATGGACTCTTAAGCACTAATAATGATCCGCACTACTGTTTTTAAAAGGGTCCAGAAGTCTCTTAATAGTTGCGTACAGAAGAAAAGGTATGAGAGACTGCTCACCAGAACAAACAAAAAAACAGCTCCCCAAAAAAGCAAACACCACAAAACCAAACAATTGAAGCCTCATTTGAGAAGGAGAGGGCAGAAGCACAGATTCATAATAATTTTTGTGAAACAACCGTGACAAAGTGAACAAGCTGTGCAATCACAATTAAGGAATAATTGAAAAATCTTTTGGGTGGGTAAAAGCCACCAAATCAAGCAAACTTAAACCTTATTGTTAAGCATGGAAATCATGACTGTGCTCACTAATATCAAACAGAGGATAAGAATTAAAGCAGTAATGAGGATAAGTAGCAATGATGTTAATTTTCATAACTAGTGAACCAACTTCACAAATTATCATTAATATTAGTCATTAATGTGTTTAGTCATGAATAGTTAACCTGATCACTTGCTATCAACAACTCATTTGATGCCAAACAGGACAAATTTACTTACTTATTAAGTAATTATCTTGCTCAGTTTCATAAAGCATTATTTAGTATGACGTTAATCACTCGCCATAGCATCTTTGCCTCTAACATTAAAATGAAATACATTACCAATATTTTGCATCTTTCTACACTCCTCATTTGAAAACACCTGTCCAAATTTATCCTTAAAATTCCTCTTAGCCATGGAAGTTGAAATTTCTACAGAAAACACAGCTTTACTTTCACAGAAGAGTTACATAGTTATTTCACCCATTTTCTAACGTTCTTTAACTTCTCCTAGGGAACTTGACTACTGTTTGTTGGCAATTCAACTTATTACTTACTGGGATTTGAAACGGAATGAATAACACAGGCAACAAGCTGCAAGGGGAACTTAAAGTATATCCTCTACCCTTAGATCTAGCTAGGACACATATTAATGCAGTTACCCTTCAATTTCTGGAGACAACCTGGGTTTTTTTGTTCTTTGTTTTGTTTATTTTCTTTAATTCCCCTAGCATCAAGTACCCTTACACGATATATGGCAGATAGGGTTTTGTTTTAAGCCTACACACACAATTCTCTAGGGACCTCTACTTGTTTGGAGGCCTTCAATCCAAAGACTGATCTAGTATTGATTGATTCTAGTACTGACTGATCTAATATTGACTGATGCAGTAAACGCTTAGTTTGTAGTGCACTGTAAGATTACAATACCAGTATAGTTCAACAAATCAGAAGTAACAGAATAATGACAGCTTTGCTTAAGCAATAAAGCAATATAATTGTTAGCTATGCTTAAGATGATAACCTCAGGCTTTAAGGTAAGCAGCTTCACACACTCAAAAAAATCTTGTTTTAGGGGAAAAGAGTAAGCATTAAGACTTCCTGTCAAACAAGGCACTGAAACTCACAGACAGTTCTCTACCCTGAGGTAAAAATAATATATTTGATCTTAATTTAAGATTATGCCAGATAAGTAACCTTAAAAGTTAAGTAAACTGACAAACTTACTGAACAAAGAAGTGGAAGGGGAAAGAAGAAGAAATAAACATAATATCTTTACCAGTAAGGCAAGTTCTTCCTCCACAAGGAATTTCTCAGATCACTGATACACAAACTGAAAAGCCTTCCATGTTTTGCAAAAACAGCAAAAATGGTTTATTTTAGAGCAAGTTCTAACAGATAACCTGAGGAATACTAGATACAGCTACTATCCAGATGTAATAAAAATTAGCAGACAACTTCATTTCCAAATGACTGGAAATGTAAAATTTTTCCCATTTCATATTTACAAGTGAAGGCTCTTTTCTCCCTCTGTGCAGAAAATCCAGAGTGTAAAGTACTGTCAATTGAGCAGCATTCGGAAGCAAAATGTTTGGACAATTTAGAAGAAACTTCAATAAGATCACCATGTAATCCAGAGCACACACTTACCATATGCTGTCACTGTCCCAACATAAGGCCCATCAACCACATTTTTATTTTCTTCAGCTAATGCTTTGATATATCTTTTGCTGAGATCCAAAATTTGCTCACGCAGGACTGAACTGCTTTCATGTTGTGTTTGCTGCTGAATAGTAAAATGCAGAAGCATCATTCCCCAAATGAAACCAAAAGTCACCAGGAAAAAGCCAAGTTTCTGAGAGGACAGCTTCCATGGAGAGAATGCCATGATTCCCAACAGCTTCACTCAGTTACTACAAAAGTTCCTAAAGCATGAAGCCAAACAGCAAGTTCATGGTCATGGTATAACAGAGCAGAATTCAGTCTTATTCCAGCTCCTTAGTCAAAGTATATCCGTATTTCAGTTCCATCCTGTTGTAAAAGGAAAGAAAAGAAGCACTGTTACCACAACATATTAGAAAGTTTTACTAGCTGTAGTAGGACTTCACCCTCCCTAATACAGAAAAAATAGACAATATGCTTTTTAAAAAAATGTTTAATTTGTCTGTATCAACATTGTACTGTACTAGCCAGAGAACAAAGAAGCTGAAAAAAGCACCGGAAAGACAATGAAGAGGGAGCGATAAGTCTGAGCACATGCAGAACACCTCTAAGTATATGCATAAAATTCAATGCTTGAAGTGGTTTCTAAGCTCAATTTCAAGGTAAGGCTGCTTATACCTATTTTTTTTTTATGTGCATACACAAAACTTCGTGATACTGCCAGTGTGACAACTTAAGACAATTCTCAGCATAATTCAGCTCTCAGAAAAAAAGTAATTTTAGCTGTCAGTGACACTGCTCGGAGCTCCTGGCAAGAGCTACAGCATATGGCTAGATAGGTGATCAGGAAATCAGACTCCCCCAGGGGTAAAGAAGAAAAAAAGAAACCTACATTATTTAAGCCAATACACTCTCCTGGCCTACACTGGAAGCAATCAGAAAGCTGAAATAATCTCCTCTTGCTCCTGTGTGGTCTCTGCCGTGCGCTGTACTCCTTATTCATAAAACATAGTCCAATGAGTTTGCCCTTTACAATCAAATTCAAAACACATACATCTAAATGCTACAAGTCTTTTGCACACAAAAATAATGTTCTCAGAGCTTTTGACACACCAGGGAAAAAAAATGTTATAATGGCTTTCAAGATACTGTAGGACTACCTTTTCATGGTAAACTCCAAAATAAAACCTGGCATAAAGAATCTAAAGGCAAGAAAAGCTCTGTGATGAGGCCTGCAGGCAGGGTCCTTAGCATAAAGCCCAAGAAGAAAGGTAATTAAAAGGTAATTAAGTGTAACCTATCATGTTAAACACATGATTTGGTAAAATGTTATCCTTTCAGCTTCATAATGCTTCCAGACAGGATTAGAGAACATAATGTTCCCTTCCATTCTGCTCTGGTACAGATAATGCAGATGTTACTCTTTTTTTTAATAGGATAATTACACAATGCCTGCTAGCAGTGCTCTCTGTTTGTTAAAACTGCCTTTAGATTTTCTGCTTTCAGTTGAACCAGCAGTTCTGCAGAACGACAGAAATACCTTTGGATCACTTATCTTCCAAAATGTCTTGTGTGTGAGTATAGCATTATTGACTATTATCGACTGTAGAAGCGAACGTGCATTACATAGCACACTAACATCAGACAAGGCAGCAACTGCACCATGCATGTACATTGCTAACAGGAGAATTTGTAGCCATTGTTTGCTTAAGGAGGAATGGCACAGAAAAATCAATTGCAAGTACAGTGGAAAAGATTGCAAAGCCCTCAAACTGACCTTTCCCACACTTAAAATGTCTCAATAAAGAAAATGATTAGTGTCAACAGAGAAAATGAAGTACTCTGTTTAATGCTGCTCTCCATAAAAGTTAATTTTCTAAGAAACAGCTGAGGGAAGTTTTACTTCTCTGAATTTATGTAACTATAGCCTTGGGACACTTCTGGACTGACTAAAAAGTAGAGTACTGTTATTTCATTAAAACCTGAATGTTGTACTGTTCTTTGCAATATCTGGTCTGATAAAAATATCTGGTCTGATAGGAAAAAATCATAGTTTAAAACAATGTCAGAAATAGAAATTGGAAATTTTCATAGAATTCTTCAGTGGCTTAATTTCAAGTAAGAATTGACAGCATCCTCTACAGCAATAGGATTTGCAGTAATAACAGTCAATATTTCTTCCCCAGTTATCTGTTATTTGTGAAGTGGAAAACACTGAATGAAAAAATAAACCTATCATCACCGTGTTTGAACAGACAAATATAAATAATTTTTTTTTACTAGTTGTTTAGGAAGAAAACTGACAGAACAGAATAAACATTACAAACAGCAATAGAAAAATCAAGTATTTCACAATTTTCTTTTTAAATTTCTAGAACAGAAACAAAGAAGATTACAAAACCAGTGTATATTTAACATATGAAAATGGTCTACTTAAATACAACTGTTGACTTTGCCATTCTGTTTATCAACAGAAAAAAAAAAAAAAAGCCTTCAATCCCCTCAAAAACTGTAGCAAGGTAGACAGCAAATATTAAAGTTTTGCCATTAAAAAGGATTAAAATTCATTGACAGGTGGAAGAATGGCCCCCGTTATTTCAAGTACTAAAAGCACTAAAAATAAAACCCCAAACCAGGCCCATTTTTACTTAAGCAATTCCAGTGGCTAGCAACTTGATGAATGCCCAACAATATATACTTAACTGATTATCTTTACAGCACTGCTGGTGGCCATGGAGGTTTGTAAAGTGTGCAAGAGAAGAATCTTCGTGCTTTCCACCACCTCTGTGGCTGGACACACACCCATACTGACTTCGGTATATGTTTAATCCTAAATTTGCAGATGGCATGGGCTGCAATACAACTATTGCCAGTTAATGATTACCACATATCTATAATGACTCATTATGTGGTATCTAAGTGGACAATGGTCAGAAGATATCAAGGAGTTATGTGGAATGCATTATGACTGCAATACAGAAATATCTCTGTATTACTGTTTTAACAGGGAATTAATAACCACAATGAGCAACAGTTGAAATAATAAACATAAACTTTTTCTACTGCAGTCAATCATGCACTTTCATCATGCTTACTAAATAGTTATCAACAGTTACATGGATAGTATATGTCAGTTACGACTACCAAGTAAGCCAGTCCTAAATGTAAAGTGGTAGAACATTATCCTTATTCTCCTCCTTCCCTTAAAAAAATGTTTGCAAAGGAGCTGATCCTGGCCTAGTCTTCAAAATACACAATAGGATTCATATCTAAAGAGAATATGGAAACATGTATTTGGACATGCCTCTAAGGAATGACAAGGCTTTTTTGTTCCATTGGAGCTTGGGGTTTTTTTTAACCTCTGGAAAGAGGCTGTCTCACTCTAAGACCACTCTTGAAATAATTCCAGTGCTCCTCTGTAAACTGGGTATGTCATACTTGCAAGGTTGTTCATAAAACCATTAAGAAGATAATTCCTCCTGATTTACTGAGAGTAGCCAATGTACCAAAACTAAATGCCAAGTGTGAAAAACAGGGTGAAAGTGAAAAGATATACAGGGCAAGAAAAACTTTAATAAAGAACAGCTTTGTTATATTCTTCCTTAAATTTAACTCTAACTGCCAAAAATCTCCCCACAGTTAAACCAATACACTGGTGTTTTGTTGTGATTTGTTATGTTTCAAACAGACAAGTTACACCCTTTGTGAAAAACAGCACGATTTAAAACAGAACTACCGCTACCGTTAACAAAAATGATTAGCACATTTTTTTGGAAAAGGCTAACTTTGTACCCATTTAAACAAGTGTAAGAATTCTGAAATACTAAAAGAACTAAGACTACTAAACAGCTTCATTAAAACCACATTTTTCCCCGTTCTGTATTTAATAAAATCCTGTTCAACAGCTGGTGAATTCACTGGTTACGGAGGATAACATTACCAGGTCTGTGTCATCAAACAAAAAACCCCTCATGCTATTTAGAATCATAGCAGGAAAGGACTCCAATGCTAAAGTGATCTGTACTTTAGTGAGCAAACCACAGTTCTCGGCATTTTAAGCCTTTATAATGTTTCCCTTTTTATTTTTTTTTTTTTTTTAACTGCTTAAAATAGAGTACAATCTTCATGTGAACAGATTTTGGTGACACATAATCCATGTATTTGTCTTCACAATTAAAAAGGAGAATTAATCATCTTCAAGATATTAAACGTTTCTTTGTACATAGGACAGATGAAAAGCCGGATGCTCTCTGTCTAATCTGTACCTAGATAAGAAGTAGTACTTATTCAGGGTAACCTTGGAACAGCACTATCCTCAGGACAGTCAGGATTCAACTGTTCATCAGTTTAATGCAGTGCTGTTCATCACTACCTCCACAGTTATTACAACCTTAACTTTCTGTAACCAAAGCAGAAACTGTTCCACCCATAAAAGTAACTGGAGATTAAGTAGTATTTAATTATTTACTTGTTATGAACTCAAACATTAGTAAACTTACAGTGCATGAGCAGTAAACGATGTATATGCAGTTTTGTACCAAGCAGCTCAGCAAAAACAGTATTGCCACTGCTATGAACAGGCCTTAAGCCCTATGCTGTGTTCCTATTGCAAATGTGCAAGGCCCAAATTCTGGCCTCTTATGCTTGTGAAATTATTAGGAAAACCTGTTGTGTGAATTAGAACTAGAGTTGGATACCAGGTGCCTCTTGTTATGGCATACAGCTTAGATATAACAACAGAGGCCTTGAAAATACAGGCATAGGTTGAAACCAGAGGCTCCAGAACCATAAGCAACTCAGTGAGGGTCAATTATTAGTCACTGCTGAAGTGCAACCTTGAGATTTGGAAAAAACTCTGCTTTTCTTTCAATAGCAGCAAATGCTGAAAAGGAGGAATAAAACTGCTAAGCAAGAAGAAAAGGCACCTGTGACAGCCTGGAACATCAAGGACCATAGCTATCTGCGCCAAATACATGGCACCAGCTCTGTGGTACTGTGTGCTCGCAATTAATTGATAGTGAGATTGTTACAGACTAATTACTTTGAATATGCAGTGGTAATGATTAGGAAAGAGTAGGAACTAGCCATTAGCAATGTATACTGCTAATGAGTACCAATCTAGTGAGGTTTTGTTATAAAATTTAAAGCTGGCTTAAACAACTGTTGTAGCAGCCTTCAGTCACAGGAATCTCTCATTCTCTTCTTACACATATAGCCATACACAAATGACACAAATTCAGTTGCAGCACTGTACCACCATGCTTGATGCTGCATAATTACTGTACCACAATCAGTCCAAAGAGGTGCTCTTAAAAACCCCCAAGCCAGGATCCTAATGCAAATACTGATCTAGATTCTTCTCTGCAGAG